GACAGCTCTGCTGGGCAGTGGGTGCCTGGGGTAGGGACTGGGGTGGTCCCTGGGGTGGCAAGGAAGGGGAACACATCACTGGTTCACTGTGTCTCTGCAGCTCTCCTGTTATGACCAGGCCAAGCAGCTGGTTCTCACCACTGGGTTGCTGTCAGACAACATCTTCACTCACTTCCTGGCCAGCTTCATCGCCGTGAGCAGGGCTGGGGCCAGGGGGCAGGGCCGGGGCTGGGTTTGCCTGCAGCCAGGCTCAGGGTGCTGGGCTGGGGCTGCCAGAGCCACCGCTCTGGGCTCAGACTGAGCAGGGCCAAGCACAGCAGCTCCAGGAGGCTCCTGGCCAGGGGTCAGGCCCAGGCACAGCTCTGGGTCTCTCCAGTGACCGTGACAGGCTCTAGCACTGGGGTCTCCTGACCCCGCTGACTCTCTGCAGGGAGGGTGTGCCACATTCCTGTGCCAGCCCCTGGATGTGCTCAAGACCCGCCTTATGAACTCCCAGGGCGAGTACCGGGTGAGTTGCCTACCCTGCCCACCTCACTGCTACCCATGCTTCCCCATCTCTGGGCCAGCCTGTGCCTCCCACTCCTCCCACCTCACCTCTCACTCTCTTACTCCAGGGTGTCGCCCACTGTGCCATGGAAACTGCCAAACTCGGACCTCTTGCCTTCTACAAGGTACCCAGCTGGGGATGCTTGGGGTGGGGCAGGCTGGGCTGGGCTGGGAACAGAGGCTGCAGTCCAGAACAGTCCTGGGACAGGGCCCTTCCAGGCTCTGCTGCAGCTGCCTGGCTGCTTCCTGCACTGGTGTGTGGGGCAGAGGGGTTGGCAGACGATGCTGAGACTGGTGTGCACTGCCATGGCTGCAGTACAGCAGGCTCTGCTCTGGACCCTGCGCTGCCTGTCCGGCCACTGCTGCCCTGTGCTGCCCACTCGTGCCACTGCTGGGGTTGAGCTGCGGGAGGACCAGGGCCAGGCACACACTGACTCTCTCCCTTCTTGCTGTACCCTTCCAGGGCTTTGTTCCTGCTGCCATCCGGCTTATTCCTCACACTGTTCTCACCTTTGTCTTCCTGGAGCAGCTACGCAAATATTTTGGGATCAAAGTGGTCACCTGAGTCAGAGGGATGGGACCCTGCCTCGCCCCAGGGGCTGAGCATGTGGGTCACCCCCAAGATCTCAGAACCCATCTCTGCTGTCTGGGGCCAGTGCCACTTCCCCTCCCCTCAGACCCACTCCTGTGCCTTGCCAGTACCTGTGGCCAATCCCCCCCAGATTCCTCCCTCTCCTCTCATCCCATTCTC